AGCGGAAATTTCATTCGATATTTTTAGATACACGTACATATTGTAATAATATATGTATACATGTGGGGTAAATGGGGAACGAAGGCAAGGAATTTTCTCGTTCGTCGTATTCGCTTTTCTCAATCATCTTTCGCTTCATTTCGATTTCGTCCAAGCCTTTCGCGTGCCTTTTTCGTCCACCACCCATCAAATCAAACAAATATAGGCTCTCGTGCGTCGATTCTTTTCGCACTTTTCCTCCCCTCTTTTGACGCGCCACTTTCGACACATAACTTGACAATTTTTAACGCATGTATAATATATATTTATTTCTCTCTTTGAACGCATTAGAACGATAAGCGTGCTCTGTTTTCTCTCGCTTCGAAGCCTCTTTTACTTTCGGATCTTCTCTTTTTATTACCTTTTCCTTCCATTTTCTTTTTCTTTTTATTTTAATTTATTCCACGAGAGGTCAACCTTGCATCGGGAACTCTCGGCGTTCTTATCTCGATGCTGAAAGATTATCCTTTCCAGTCGAGAATGGGAGACACGAGATGGTAGAAACTAGGGAGAAATTCCCTCGTTTCTAGCCTCCTCGAATTTCCTCTTTTCTTTCTTTTTTCCCGAGGTTTCCCGCGAGAACCGCGAGAAAGTGGAAGGAAGTTAGTCGTCTAGGACGAATCGGCCATCACTTACGGCGTGCCTTGTTCTCAGAGTATAATGGAGAGATAGAAAAGCGAGGAGACATAAGAGGGAAGATGAACGAAGGATTTGTAACGACAGCGAACGAACAGTCGTAGACGGTTCCAAAGATTCTTATCACGCGGTGTTTTAGCGCTGTGCATCCACGCGTGCAGCTTCTCTGCTTCTCTTCTCGACCACGAAAAAGAATCGCGTGATAGGGAGGATCGTTCGATCCCGTGATCTAATCTTCGATCTATCTTAGCTCGGTTAAGACGAGCTGTGGGGGGGAAAAGGGTTTACATTTTTGCAGATGTAAAACGAGAGACAGGAGAGAGGATGGTGTTTTTAGTAAAGCGAAAAGGAAAAGAAAAAGGAGAAGAAAACGAGTAACGCACGCTGAGATAATGTCAGGTCATTTTAGGGTATTAGGCGAGCGGAGAAAAGCGGTGGCACAAAGAAAAATATGAAAGTAAAGATGAAACAACCACAATGTGATTTAGTATGTAAGCGAGAATAACCCCGTTAAATGAAGAGTGTGTATGTATACATATAAAGATACGATGATTGTTATATGTATATATATGTGCGTGATATATAATTAAATAAATATAGTGGTACGGTGATGATGACGCGATGATGAAAAGTACCGCATATATAGAGTTATATATAACCCTATACATGAGAATAAATATTGCTATTGTAATATGTAATAATTATTATAAAGATATATATACGTATATATGTATAAATATACAAGCGTATATGTATATATTTATACATATATCGGCACGCATATGTATATGTTATATATACATATACAGGGTGTCCCGTTTTAGTCTGTCATCGCGAATTGCTCGTAGGTCGCAGCGTTGCAAAATGGCCGACGAATCGGCTCGAATCTCCATTATAATATTCGTCATAATATTCGAGTAGAGTTATCCTTTTTCTTATCGCGGAATATACGGAGGGACATTTGGAAAAAGAGAAAGAATCATTTTTTAACGCTACTTGTGTCAAGAATCCATTAGGTCGGGAGGTATTTTAATTTCGGTATCGCGTGTTCCGTGGCAGTTGGCGAGTAATTCACGATGATGGAATAAAATAGGACACCCTGTACATCTATATATATATTGTCTACCGATCGAGAAAGCGGAGAAATCTTTTTTTACGAATAATTTTATTTTTGAATGAAATACAATGAAAAAGAATAAAATTTCACTATATTAAAACATAACGCGAGTGTCTTCTTTTCCGAAAATCGTGTCCTCCACCTTTCTCTCTCCCATTTACGCTCTTTTCCCGTTAATTTATTCTTCAAAATCGTATTTCATTCGTCGCAATTCCTTTATTAACGAGAGAAATCCGAGGTTCGATGGCACCGAAACGAAGATTTTCAAAAATGTCGAGTCGCGATTCGGGAAAAGCAAATTTGCCAAATTTCTCGCGCTATCGTTTCTCGTTCTCGCGATATCTCGCCATATTTCGCAGGTCGAGCTTCTTCGAGCGAAGAAGCTTCGCAAACCGGTATTCCGAACCGCGTCCCATCGTTCGCCGCGTTAATTATCGCAATTGGTTAATTGGCTCAATTGGGAAAGTTCTCGGTACGAATTAAGATCGCGAATTTCTGCGGCCTAACCGAATCGGGCGCTCGTTTCCCGGAAGCGAGAGCTTGGATCATCTCGATCGAAGATCCATC